GCCCTAATGGATCCACAAAAAATGGGATCGACTAGATCCTGTCCACGGAACGATATATCATTAAAGATGTAACAGTTCTTAACAGATTCACAACAGGTAGCGATTGAAGGATGGTCCGAGCAAAAATTAGTATTGAGAGATTAAACCTTCTTCTTCTTCTTACAGTGCCTATCCGTTCCGGATGTTGGCGATCAACATGGCTATCCTAACTTTGCTTGCTTCTATTCTGAATAGCCCGGTTGTCGATGTATTAAACCACTTTCTCAGGTTTTGAAGCCAAGATATTCTTCTTCTCCCTGGTCCTCCCTTTCCAAATACCTTGCCCTGAAGAACGAGTTGCAACAAGCCGTATCTCTGTTCATTCCTCGTAACATGTCCAAGATATTCTAGTTTGCTCTCTTTGATGGTGTTAATAATCTCGCATTCCTTGCCTATCTACGTAGGATATCAACATTAGTCACACGATCCACCCATGAAATTCTTAAAATACGTCTGTAACACCACATCTCGAATGCTTCGAGTATTCTTAAAGAAGCTTCGGAAAGTGTCCAGACCTCTACTCCGTATAATAACGTAGAAAATACATAGCATCTAATGAGAGAGATTTTGGTAGCAAGTGGTAAATCGTGACTTCTGAAAAGAGACTTCATCATTATGAACGCTGATCTCGCTTTTCCTATGCGTTGTTTTATTTCACTGGAGTGATCCCATTGGCTGTTAATGTTGGAACCAAGGTATGTGTAGCTGCCCACTCTGTCAATTGGATGTTGGTTAACCAAAAGCTGTGTATTTAATATTTCGCGAAATAAGATATGTGTACATCCTACTCCCAATGTAGACAAAAAAAAAAGATAATTCTAGATGCAAATTGCAGAGGTGCAAAAATAAGACTCATAAATTTTGCTCCAAATGTGAAGTTCATCTGTGTTTGATGAAGAGTTCTATCGTAAATAAAGTTTTGTATTATTTTGATTCACCAAGACAAAAAACTACTAAAGATTATGAAAATGGCACTTTTACGAATAATATTAGAATTATGACAAATAAAGCGAGTAAAGTAAATAATAAAATTTTTTTCTCAACAAATGACGGATGTATTGGCGACGTGCAAGTACTTGGAGGGGATACGAGAAACGATCGTGCGCGAGTAGCGGAGAAATCTTGCATTTTTTCAGATTTCATAAATTCATATTGTCAATTGTCATATGTCATATTCGTTTGTTTATTTACACCTTCTGTCACTGAAGACAATGGGATTTAGGAAATGCTGTGTTATAAATTGTAAAAATACAACAAAAAATTATCAATTTAAGTTTTATTCGTTTCCAACTTCGAAGCACAAATTAGTACAAAGAGAAAAGTGGATTTATATCATAAAAAAGCATAACCTAAATTATGCATTATTCTTGCGCCTGATTTTAAAGTCAGTTTGAAATAAATAATAAATAAAAGTTCACTTTTAAGTGTAAATTTTAGTTTCATAACACTCACTTAGAGTTCATTTTAACCCAAAAATCAAGTTTAATGCCTAAATTTTATTTTTTTGTTTATGTTTCTGTCCAAAAATTTACAGGGAAAGAATTAATTGTTCAAACCAATATGATGATATATCATGGGCTTAACCTGCTAATTTATGCATTTATGCATTAGCATTATTTATGGTAATTTATTTTTCTTAATTCTTCCACATAATTCTTCCATTCTTTTTTGACATTTGCCACTACTAAAGCTTTTCCATTTGACTCAGTGCTTGGTTGAAAAGTTATTTGGTGATTTACTTTCTCAAATCCAGTTTTTATTATTGCATCCATATTAACAGTAATGCTGTAATTTAATAATATATTTATTTGTATTTACACTACATACAACGTTTACCTTTTAATAACATACCGACATAACCTCAATCTTACTTTTTCTTCTTATTCTTTTTTGGGGCTACGTCCTTGACAGTTATCCGGTAACCTCGATCTAACATGAAAACGCAGTAAATTTTGCTGATTTACGACACCAGGTGTCGCTGTTCCGAACTTGCACGGTTCCAATACTTCAGGGCTACTTATCGTAATGTCTCTCTGGAGGGACAAATTTATTGAAACGGTTAATAATAAAAACTATTGTTCTGATTACGTTAAAATGATAAAACTATGTTGAACAGAAAAGCAGTGACCGTGACAGTATGTAAATCATCAGTATTTATCCTTCAGAATATAGTGCTCAATTTTCGACAAAATACGCTTTAAGAATCGCATCAGTTTTCTTAGGAAACAACTGTACCTAAAAACTGATGCAAGCATCTTAAAAGTCAGAATACAAATAAAAAAGTTATGAATTGTCAAACTTAATCAAACATTTTTAGTGGAGGAATTTTGTACCTGCGTCTGTATGAATTCCTAGGCCAAAATCAGCCACTACACGATAAAATTATATTTATTTTATTACGAAGATATTTAATAAAACCTAGTTCTTTAGTACGAATATCTGGCTTATGAAACAGTTAAATGATATATTGTTAATGACATTACTGGAAGATGTAGATAATTATAAGTCGTAATTTCTGTTCTGTATTATTTTTATTGCCAGTTTTCCTCTGTTCTCCCCGTGCATTGGTGGATCGAAAACTTAAATAGAGAAGTCCTTGATAGTTGTAGTAAAGGTTACCAACTAAATTAAATTAAAAATATATTATTAGAACAAATAGTGTTCGCATCCTGGTATAAATAAGAGAATCACGTGATCGATGCTAGAGATCACGAAAAAATTCAAACAAATGGTCAATCACTCGTCTGATCAATGATTGATGCCGCGATCGCTAGCGGTGAATAACAACGACGAATAATCGCTGAATCAATTTTGTATTCTTAGGTTTATTTAGGTGTAATGGTATTGCTTCCTTTTTATTTACAAATGAGTGGGATGTTTTCGTTATTTGGTTCATTATAGTAATCATTTATGTTGAAACTGTATAATTTATTTATTGTCTCTAATAAGCAGTTTAAAAATAATCATTTAAAAGATTAAGAGTTCAAGATTAAAAATTCAAAACGATTTCTTTAAAAATAAGCCATCTATGATGCGCCTAATACAGGGTGTTTCAAAAAGGTATATCATAATTTAAACCACGCATTCCGGGGACAAAAATAAATTGATTAAATCCAACTTACTTTAGTACAAAAGTGTACACAAAAAAGTTACAGCCCTTTGAAGTTACAAAATAAAAATCAAATCAAATGAATTTTGTGGCGTCATTAGTTTAACACATTATTTTTAAAAATTTTTTGGCTCTTATCATTTTAAAAAAAAAAAGTTTTTATTGAGTTACAGCTCTTTTCATTAACCTTTAAAAAATTACGTGCAACTAAATAAATGGCTTAAATGAATTAACAAGCACAAAAAATGTCTGTAGCTTCTATAAATATGATATTACAATAAATGTTCAAAACGACCCCATTTTCTTCAATACACATTCGGTATCGTTTTAATAAGGAAAACCGAATGCGCTGAAAAATCATATTTTTCTGACAAAATTGAATTGGAGCTTCAATTATTCTAACCCTCAATTGTTGTTCGTCCTCTATTGTTACAGAATACACTTTCTCTTTCATAAACTCCCAAAAGAAAAATTCCATGGGGTTAAGACCTGGACTTCTGGGTGGCCAAGAAATAGGTGCATCACCACCCTTTCCAATCCACTGACCAGGATACTGTCTGCAAAGGTATTCTCAAACTTCTTTACTGTAATGCGGTGAAGCACCATCTTGTAGAAACCACATATTTTACCTTATTGCAATAATCACTTCTTCCAAATACTCTTGTAAATCGTTTGCCAAGAACTGCAAATAATTATCACCATTTAAATTGTTGGGAAGAAATACTGGGCCTATTAGATTAGTATCCACAACATTTACTTTGAAAGTCCTTTGGTGATTAGTCGTTTTTTGGAGTGAGGATTTTCGTAGGCCCAAATGTGTTCGTTATGATGGTTTGTTATTCCATTTCTACTGAAGGTAGCCTTCTAACTCAATCTTTTGTGAAAATTTGAAAAAAATTAAAGAGGATGGTTTTAAGATATGAATTTTTCAAAAAACCGCCTTGTTTCGCATTTTGTGGCTTTACATGACGTCATATGACAATTCTGACACCGAGATCGTATTCAGCGGGAAATTTTACATTGAAAAACATATAGTGGATATTTGTTTATGCATATAGAGCTCGCTGTACTAAAAATATCGGCGAAACACGAAAAAAAATTGATAAAAAGCGTGAAACTTCAATAGCGCACCACGGCCGCCATTTTGATTATTAAGGTCTGAAAATTTGACAATCTTGTTTTTTTGTCTAGTACAACATGTGTGTAAAATTTCAGCTAAATCGGAGTGGGTGACCCCACCGACTTGCGACGATTATTGCTGGAATTACCCGAAGGGTAAACTCGAAAAAAAAAAAAATGGGTCCTGGTAGACGACAAATATCCTGGTTGAAAAATATTCTCCACTTGATCGGGTTAAACACACAGACGCTTTTAAGAAAAGCAGAAAATAGAGACGAATTTGCAATGGTTATAGCCAACCTTCATTAGTGGAGACGGCACTAGAAGAAGATCTCTTTATCTATCTATACTGACAGAAAATGAAAACAAAAAGAAAATAACTGATGTAAGAGTAAGACGTGGACCCGAAATAAACAGCGACCATTATCTGCCGATAGCAATAATAAAATATTAAATAAAAACAACAAAGTAAGACGATAAAATCATACCGATTGAAAACTAAAGTATAATTTACCAAAAAGTCAAACACTTGAGCTAAAACGCTGAACTGGACGCATAGTAATGAACCAAACGAAAACTCCAAGGCTATCGGCACAATCCCGGCATTTTCCGCGTAAAAATCTGACTTTTCCCTAAAGTCGCACCGATTCCCCCTTACCTTACCTTGACACATGGAGAGACGCCGTTTCCACGGCGACGAAAACTCATAAAAGCTCCAACGCCGCGACGTCCCATTCATTCAGTCGATCACATCCGAAGTTCTCGCTCCCAGTCTTACCGAAGTTTCTCACCCCAGCCACAGGTTGGTGCATCCGCGACGATTTTGTCTGTGCATTTAAAGTTTCAAAACTGTTGAAAACCCTGTTTTGTGCAGTGCCCAGAGGGTACATCGCCCAGATTGTGGACGTGAGTACTCGTGTGTTAGTGTTTTTATCAATTTACTTTCTGTGACGACAAATTTGGTAGGGCCAGATCAAAGAGAGCAACTTTTCTTGGTTAAAAATTGTGTGCCATCACTTTCACTATAAAAAAACATATAATTAAAGGTCCGACGGTAAAATGAAGAGTGTTAATTTATTAAAACTTTTTTAACGAATAGTTAAAATGTCAAATTAATTGTTAATCTGTTATTTAATTTATAAAGAAACTATATCATGTCAAAATTTAACAAATTATATTCAATAATTTTATTTATTCATTCATTCATTGTCCTGTCGTTTATTTTGGATCAATATTATACAATTATTTCATCATTAATTAAAAAAAATTATCTTTATTTATAGAAATATAAAAAATTGTTATTCAAAATTTAACTATGGACAAAAAAATTAAAAACACTTACTACTCAAGTCTGTTTATAGCATTATATGCCAAATATTTAACACATTCTATAAAATATAACAAGTCAAAAGTGGGACAAATCCAGAAAAGTTGCATCTCTAGAGACTACCAACATAAATACTGTAATACTGGATGAATTTCAAGTTTCTCTAAATATTTTTGTCAATTTTTTAATTAATTTTCTAATGTTTCATAGAGGACATAACTATTTATTGTTTTTTTTAATATCTAGGTTTTTTTTCCTTGTGAATTGTTTGGGTATATTTCAAAATATTTTAATATTATAACACTCTACGTTTTGTAAGACTTACATCATTTTTCACGATAATAGTTTTTGACAGACACATCAATATAAATAAACTTCACATTCAATATAATTACAAATATATTACAAATGTACGATAACAAAATGGAGAAGATATACAATGTTTTTGTCCTCTTTACTACATCTTTACTTCTAAATTGTTTAAATTGTCGCACCATCTTTTTCTTGGTCTGCCAATACTTATTCGTCCATTTGGTGACTTGTGCTATTCCTACTATCCCATCATCCACCATTCTACTAAAGTGTTTATTCCACTCCTGTTTCCTTTTTGTCATCCATCCATTTATGTCTTCTATATTGCATGCTTTTCTTATGTTTTCGCTCGTTTTAGATGTGTCAGGTCTTGTCTTCGCTGTGTATGAATATAGGTCTAATTGCTGCTTTATAGATTCTTGTTTTTGTGTCTTGTCTTAGGTGTTTGTTCTTCCATATTGTGTCATTAAGAGATCTCGCCGCTTTACTTGCTTTTAAGCTTGGTTGTCGTACTTCTTCTTCAACATCTCCGTAACTAGTTATATCTATTCCCAGATATCTAAACCTTGCTTCCTGCTTTATTATTTTCCCATCAATTTAGATTTTACATTGTAGTGGGTATTTAGATGTTGTTATACATTTGGCTTTTTCTACTGATAGTATCATATTGTATTTCTTGGCTGTGGTATTTAAGATAGGTATGTGTTAATGTTTGGAGCTCGTCTTCTGTCTCGGCAATTAATGCGGCGTCGTCTGCATCACATAGTATTTGGATTTCTTTATTTCCCATTCTGTAACCATGACCTTTACCTACTGCCTGTATTATTTCGTCCGTTATTATATTAAGGAGAAGTCATCTTAACGTGTCACCCTCTCCGACTCCACTTTGTGCTAGTATACCCTGTGTTTTCCATTTATCTTTGCCTGTATTCGATTATGTAAGTAGATTTTTTCGATGGTTTGTATAATATTGATTGGTATGTTTCTTTTATACAGTAGGTGTAAGACGTCCTCGACTTGGATACAACATACACTACAACTACAACATATTTCACCTTCCACTTATACAAATATACCTTTTATACAAAATAAATTAAAAATTCAAATAAGGCAATAAAATTTTTTATTCTATTTAGGTCTTCCAATTGTATGTAACTATTATGAACAAAAATTTCTTTTTTTTTTGTTCTTTTTGTTTAAGAAAAGTATGTGAAAGTCACTTTCCTGTCAAAAATCAGCGTCATTTGAGACCAAATAAGTTAATTATAGGTAGCAAATATGTTAAACAAACATTTGAAAATATGCTTCGGTCTCCATAACAACACATTAATCACAGTTTTTAAATTCCCACATTTTTATTTCAAAAATTATTAATATCTGTCATAATGTCGCCAGTCAGTGGCGTCGTCAGACAGGGATCAAATTCATTACGAAATTATCTGTTTAATTTTTTTAATTTCATTGATTTATCTTAGCATTCTCGTAATATTCTTTTGGTGTTTTTTCTTATTTTAAACTGTTTAACATTCAGCTCCATACATAATAGATAGTCTTGTGATAGTTTATAAAATATTTCTTTCAGTTTTATTTTAATTTTTCTTTCACACAACATATCACTTGCCTCCTTTCATTTCATCTATTCCACGTTAACTCTACTGCATGCATTTCCGTCTAATCATATAGTACTGAATGAATATGCCTTCTTTCTTTTCACTTCTGTTCGAAGTTTTTTCATTGCCAATTCAATTGTTAACTCTTTCAGACCAAAATTTTCTAGAATTGCAATAACTGTTTCGAAGAATGGTGGCATAGAGAGTATCAAGTTATATACTACATCTTCGTCCCTGATTTCCACTCCCGTTGCTTTCAATTGTCTTGTTACATCATCGAACTTACTAAAAAACTGCTCCAGATCATCGACCTCTTTTAATTTCGTAGATTTTAATTTCTTTCTCAAAATCATTTGTCCAAGTAGTCCTCTTTTTTCATATCGCTCTTGCAAAGCATACCACATGATATAAGCTGTTGATTTATTTCGAATAACCTTTAATTGATTGTCATCTATATATTGAACAATTATTAATCTACAAGCTCTTTCTGTTTCGCTACTAACTTTTGTGACTCATCTGTACAATTATTCTCATTGAACTCCACAGTAATCCGTTGTTCAACTTCTTTTCTTCCAAAATAACTTTAATTCTATATTTCCATGCAGAATAATTGACCTTATTCAAAAATTCAATATTAAATGTATTCTTTATTGTATTTGCTATATTTTATTTCTACAGAGTTTTCTGGGCCTATAACCTGTCATATTGCAGATTAAAACTCTCAAACTCTTTGTTCCTTAGTTTTATTTTATACTCAAGATCAATACATACTACTTAGACATTACATATTTCTATAACATGTTCTTCAGCACCATAGCCTATACTTCTTAACCTCCATTTCTAACCATCTGCCATTCTGATTCACTCAATGACACAAAATCACAAACAGGATTAAGCAAAAAATATTACACTTTACAAGAGAAACTGAAAGTAAAACATGAGAACATGTATTCTTCGAATAAGACTAAACGACAAGTAGTAAAACAAAATTTAGAAACACTTAAGCAAAAGTGAAGACGAAAGACGATCAAAGAGAAAACCCAGAACCAGCAAACAGAAAGATGAAGGGATATTATAAAAGCGGGCATCATTAATTTGATACATAGAACGTTAGAGAGCAATTTAAAACAATTAAAATGAATTTGGTGTTGCATATACATAAGAATACAAGTTTACTAAATCCTTTTTTTTTACATGTTTTTCTTTGTATAAGGAAAAAGTGTTCGAATCATCAATTAATGCATAATTTTTTGGATTACGTATCCCGCTGAAGAGCTATATGCGTACGCCAATGATCTTTGTTTAATGACCCATCAGCGGCCAGGTCCATCTTTCCAAAAATTATTTCGAGAGCGTTTGGCACCCACTTGCGCTGGCAGCAAATAAAAATCAGGCGCCACGGATTCTTTTGTCGCTTTTTTGGACTTTTTTTAGACCTCATCATGTGCGAGTTTCGACGGCAACAGCTTTAGGCCATCGCGTAAGATTTGTTTTCCTTAAACGCCGGGGAATTCGGGAGATTTGTCATCTAGAAGAATGTCAACAAATGTTCTGCTGGTCGTGTTTGTTTTGAAGTTCTTCCGGTGTACCGGTCGTCTTTTGTGGGTGATTTTGAAGTCATCGGGATCGTTGAGTGAGCTTTTGACGTTTTGTTCTAAAATTGTCAACCTCTTTATCCATTCACGTTAGATTTATGTCATTTATTCACAAGAGTATTATTTCTGTGCAATATCACAAACATTCATGCACTATGCAACAAAAATTTAGATATAGAATCGATTGTAGAGATGTTACGAAATAAAATATGATATACAAAAGTCTACTGACAGTATAAATATATAAAAATTGCTTAAAAGTCTTGAGTATATGACACAAAATCCAGCAAAAATCAAAAATTCAAACTTGGATTTAAATAAAAGTAAAATACAATCTACAGATTTGGTTCAAATATCTACATCATCCTAATTATTATTCCTCCTTCCAAAACTAACACAATGAACCTAATTTCGAGGAACAATTTAAAAATCTCAATGGTTTACTAACAGCGGTCATTAAGTTTTTATATCAGCATTCCTACTGGATGACTAACACCCAAATACACTCCAGAAAAACAGAATTATTGATTTTAAAATAGTTCGCAAAGCATACCAGTTTGGTAACTCCCACGTTGTTCTTTCATTGATAAATTTGCTTTGAAACTGGCAGTCATAAAGAAATTTAGTTTTTTGAAATTACATTTACAAATAAATGTTGTAATTAAAATTATATATTTAGGAATGGTTAAGAAACTTAACCTTCAGATTACGAATATAATTTTACCTACAGTACATTTAACCAACTTATACCTCTAAACGATTAGCGGAATTCCTGCCACTTTCACTAAAACAAAGTCATTTTCAGATAAGTCATATTTTTTTGGACATTTAATAATTCTTCTTCTCTAGTTACCAAGTCCTCAAATGTACCTCCATCACTTGAACTTGATTCACTATCATACTTAGCAACTCTCTTTGGTACATTTTGTATATCTTTTGTCGCTATTTGCTTTGTTACTGCCTGCACTTTCTCAAATGATACCTTCTATTGAGTCTTTCCCTTTTTGAGCGCAGCTATATTATCTTTCTCTGGAGTGTCGTTAAGTATTCGTGACTTTCCTC